TAAACAAGATTTAAACAACATATAATGAAATAAGAAAACTCTAAATTAAAATAATAAAATAATTTAAATAAATTAAATAGAAATAACATAAAATATGAAATAAAGATGAAATCATCATTCTCCTATTTAGTTATGAGAAATTGAATATTGGTGAGAAGAAGAATGATGATGTGTTGAAGAAGAATATAAGAGATAAAGAAAATCAAATCATTGAATATCAAAAAAGTAGAATTGAAAATTATGAGAATGAAGAAAAAACAAGAAAAGAATTAGACAATACACAAAGAGAAAATGAAGAACAAAAACAAATAATATCAAATCATCAACAATTTATTGTTTATTTTTTATTTCAGAAATAGAGAAGAAGAAAACAATGAAATTAATGATAAATACACAACCAATATTGAGAACATCATCATCTGGGATAATACAAATGAACAATACTACTATTATGAAAAAGACAATTCTAGAAATAGAAGAAGAAGAGAACAAAACACTGAATATCAAAAAACAAGAAATGATAATCAATTAAGAAGAGAAGAAAACACAATAAATCAAACAAATAGAATTTTAATTGATGTGTTGTATTGTTTTGCAATTAATTTGTTAAATAAGAAATTAAATAAAAAATTAAGAAATGAATAAATAGAAAATATAATAAAAGTAATAAATAATAATGTAAATAATGAGAAAGAATACATCAATAATATTAAATATTATTATTTTATTATTAATTTTATTATATATTATTGTTATTTAAAACAATAAAAAACAAATAACATTTAATTTAATGAATAAAATGAAATGATTTGTTATAAATGTGTATTTAGTTATTTAATCATCTGATTTTAATCTGATATTCATTAAATTAAAATGGATGAGTTAATAAACAAGAACACCCATCTCTTTAAAGAAGAAATAGAAACACTTCCAAATATTCAACAATCAATTGATGATACTACTAAACATTATCAATATTATTTAGGAATTATTAAAAATGAAATATTTAAAATACAAGATAATGAAACATATGAACAAGCAATTAAAAGAGGAGAAGGAATATTTGATAGGATTGATGAAACAGAAAGAAGAAGAAAATTAATAATAGAAAAAAGTCAAGAAACAATTAACCAATAGAAATAATAAAGAATCAAATGAACAAAATAATAGAAGAAAGTAATTCAGATGAAGAAATACTAAGTAAAACACGGAATGAAATAATCAATACAATCATTTCTATTGAAGAAATGACCATGAAAGATAAAGTATTCAGAACACCAAAAGAAAAAGATAAAATCACAGAAGAATTTAACAAAAATAAAGAAGAATGGGAAACATATTATAGTGATTATTTTGAGAGGAAGAAGATAAAAGAAGAAGGAGAAAGATTAAGAATAATGAAAGGAATGAACACAATTGAAGAAATGAAACAAATAGAAGAATGGACTTCAAGAAAAGTATCAAATATATTATTTAATTCAGATATTGATAATTGGAATAAGAATACATCAGTATTTGAACAAAGAATAATAAATAAAGAACATATAATAATTATTATTGAAGACACAAATGGAAATAAATTTGGAGGATATGTTAATGAAAAAATTAATGAAGTTGGTTGAATATATGATCAAAATTCATTTTTATTTTCATTAAAATCAAATGGAAGAATAAAAGGAATGATGAAATTTGATATTAAACAACCACAATATGCATATGTAGGTAAACAATCAGATGATTATTTGTTTGGATTTGGATATCGTCTTGACATATGTAGTGTCTTTTTATTGTCATTTGAAATTTGTGTTTATAAAGAAAATGATAAAACAGAATCATCTTGTAAACAAGATTCATTTT